TTGCCAATTTACATGTAATTAAACACAGTTATTTTTCCAATTTTTTCTAAATGAATTTTAATTATATCTGTACTTTCTAATGGGTTTTTCACTGTCAATAGGGAACCATCCACAAATAAATTAATCTTTATTTTATTATTTTCACCCATATCTTCAATTAAATTGTCATTTCTTATTGCATTTGCTAACATTTCAATAATCGAACAAAGCAGAACTGGAGAAAGAGGGCAACTTTGTCTGGTGCCTCGTCCTTGAGCTACCTGCTCTGTCATCCCATCATTAACTATTACTGCAGAAGTATTCTCCAAATATAACTGGTCTATCACCACTAAATTTCTTTCCAAAACCCCAGTCCTTAATGTTGGCCATTCTACACAATCAAATGCCTTAAAAATATCTAATTATAAAATACCTGCCTTTGATTTATCTTTTTCTATATTATATTTAATGTTCGAAACCCTCCTAATTAAATTTTCCATTTGTCTTCCCTTTAAAAACCCATTTTGATCCTCTTTAATGTATTTCGTAATAAACTTATTCATTCTATTTGCTAAGATTGCAGTAAATATCTTTGCATCTTGATTTAATAATGAAATAGGTCTGTATGAACTTGGGTCTCTCAAATCTTTATTGGGTTTGGAATAAGAGTTGTTAATGAATATTTCCAAGAATCTGGCATTTTCTCTCCTTCCAATATTCCATTATAAAATATTTTTAACTTGGGGATCAGTATTGATTTTAAAGTTTTATAATATTCTGATCCCATTCTAGGTAAATAATGTCCACCGTATTCTTTTTCAATAATGTTTCTATTTGCTTCCTCTTCATTACAGACCCTAGGCCTTTCACATTTAAAGTAGCTACCCTTATGTTTTTCCCCATATCTGTTCTATATCTCATCTCTTTTTTTGGTCCCATTGTGGATCCCACAAAAAAAACCACCCCTAAAAATTCACATTGTTCTCTGTCTAATCCCCTATCCTTAACTTCCCACTCTACACTTAAACTATTTTCCTCCCCCTCCCTTCCCTGCGCCTCACTAAAGTTTGACATGAGCTCCGGGAGGGAGGGCCAGTCTGGGCCCCAGCCAAATTCTCATTCCTATTTCACCCTACTCTGTTTTCCCCCTTTAATACCTTTCCTTCTTTCATTTGACTTGATTGTTTCTCTTTACATCCTTATCCTTTAATTTTTCCTCTCTTCTCTCACATCCCCAGAAAAAGAAACAAAATAAGCAAAAAGAACAACAAAAAACAAACAAAAAACAAAAAAGGGGGGAGGAGGGACAGTATAAAAGTGTACAAAGTTTAAAAAGAGGAGGAAACAAAAGAGAAAGAAAAAAAGGGGGGAGGGAGGAGTCTTCACGCATCAAATGGTATCTCTCATTCCAGATATCTTCTCTCTCATGTTTCCAATCCTTGCAGGCCTACTTGTTTGTGTCTTTGGTCATCTTGATCTTCTTGCCATAGGCCCCATGCGACTAACAAGTCCTTGCCTTCTTCAAAAGAGAAGATTCTGAAGAGGGAGGACTCCAACTTTCCACATCTTAAAAAGACGGGGTTGTATCTCCGTCCATTCTTGATTAGAATTGATGTAATGGGTTTCATCGTTTTTGTCCACCATATTGATTCGTTTCTTAAATCCTGATAAATCTGTATTGGGGTTTGACCTACAAACTAATAGCTCCGTTTTTTCTTTAATGACTTTGAGAAATTGCTCTCTTTTTTTAGCATAGTTGAAAAATTTCATTATTATAGGTCTTGGCCTCTTATTTCTGGGGTTCCCAACAAAATTGATTCTCTCTATAGCCTCTTCAGCCACATGCAGGGAATTCATAATAAAATTTATCCAGGCCACCACATCCTGCTTAAGGTCAGCTCCTTTTTGCAGCTCAAAATTCATTATTTTGATGTTGTTGCATCTTGAGCTCTCTTCCAGATACATCACTTTCTTTTGCAAATCGTCTATCTTCTGTTGTTGTGCCTCTGTTTTCCCTTCATTCTGTTTTGATAGATCTTCCATTTGCTTTACTCTGTCCTCCATTTTATTATGCTTGCCTTCATCCCCTGTACTTCTCCCTGAACTGATTTCATGTCCTTTCCCATCTGCTGACATTCCTTCACTAAAGAGTCTATTTTGGAAAGAACCTGTTCCAATTTTCTATCAATCTGACATGGTATACCTTTAGCCAGATCCTTTGCACAAGTTGTTAATTCGGCAATCTTTTTTCTTCCATGCTGGCTTCACCTTTAGCCAGATCCTTTACACAAGTTGTTAATTAGGCAATCTTTTTTCTTCCATGCTGGCTTCAATAAGACTGCTCAGAGAGGTAGCCCCTCCTCCTCCTTTCCAGCAGCTTCCTGAATCTCTTCAGAAATTTCTTTACGAGTGGGGGATTCTACCTCTATTCGTCTTATGCGTTCGAGACTACGATCTGATGGTGTTTTTTCTCTGACAGCTCTCGTAGCCAACTCTTAGAACTCTTATCTCTATTTTTTCTCATAAGCAAAGCAAAAAAAAAATCATAACAGGAAAACAAAGTAGTTTTTACAGCTCATTAGCTGTTCAACTTTCACTGGTGTTCTTCCAAACGAAAGTGCCTTCCCCAGATAAGCAGCCAGGGTTTTGCAGTTTAAAAAGCATTTCTATCTCTGCTTGAACTTTTCACAAAGAATTTATGCAGATTTACTCACATTTCAAGAAGGGGGGAAAGGGCATTTAGCAACTTATTTACATTCAGCAGGGCGAGGAGACGAAGACTCAGCTGTGCATCCCGTCCCGGCGGAAGTGACGTCTCATCTCTGCACATTTCAATGTGTGTAGCATTGCCATGTTATCATCCCAATTTTGATTACAGTGGCGCCTCGCTAGACAGTTACCCCGCATGACCATTTTTTCGCTAGACACTGATTTTTTGCAATCGCTATCGCGATTCGCAAAACAGTGATTCCTATGGCAGAATTTCACTGGACAATGTTTGGTCCCTGCTTCGCAAACCGATTTTCGCTAGACATCGATTTTGACAGCTCCCTCTGCGCTTGAAAAACGGGTGTTTTAGGGATCTAAGCTTCACGAGACAGCAATTTAAACAGCTGATCAGCGGTTCGCAAAGCGGCTTTCCTATGCCCAATCTTCGCTAGACAACGATGATTCTTCCCCATTGGAACGCATTAAACAGGTTTCAATGCATTCCAATGGGGAAATGCTTTTCACTAGACAATGATTTCGCTAAACAGCGATTTCAGGGGAATGGATTATCATCATCTAGCAAGGCACCACTGTATATAAAAGTGCCCATTTGCCTGAGTTATGAAAAACAGATAGTACAAACCAATCCCTGTTTAAAATAATAATCATACAGTGTTGTCAATTCTGAATTATGGGGACCCTTCGGGGCTTTCTAGGTAGAGAATACTCAGAAGTGGTTTCCCATTCCCTTCTTCTGACTCCTCTGAGATACACAGTAGGGGAACAACCTCCCAACCTCTGGCTCTGGAGCCAGATATCTAAACCTATCCAGTTTGTCAGCAGCACGTCCCACTGAACTCAGTAGGTCTTACTCCTCGCTAAAGGTCCCACATGACAGCAGTTGTACAGTGTCAGTAGTTGCAATGGGATACAGATGGTACAGAAGAGTGATACTTGTTGTCGCCTCCTCGTGCCATTCTCTCCATGTTGACTTCCCTTGTTTAAAAAAAGAAGATAATTGCTTCTTCAGAACAAATAATTGTTTTTATGTTCTCTTGTTGGAATTGGTCTGTTGCAGACGCTCCCCTCAACAAACCTATGGCTAAAGGAAAAACAGTAAACACGATGACCCAAGTCTTGTTTAAAAACCAGAACAGAAATGTCCCTGGTGGTTTCTGTCCTTTGGATGGTGTCCCCCATGACTGACGACAGGAGTTACTTCTGCTAGCTGGCACAGCCTCCTATATCATTGTCATCATCATCTTAGAAATTGAGAGCTGGGAGGGACCCTATGGGCCATCCAATCCAGCTCCTGTCAAGGAGGCTCTGTGGGGAACCAAACACACAACCCCCAGATGTCTAAACCACTCAGCTATCCAATAGTTCATCCAATAGGTCCACCCGAGTCATTAAAGGAGCCATGGAAAGACAGGATTCATTGCTTTGCTTCACAAGCTTTTAATTTCACAACTTAATACAAGTACTTATTTGGAAATGCATGTTTTGTTATGTTGTTGTTGTTGTTATATGCTTTTCTGATTGTTTCTATGTACTCATAATAGATGGCAAATACTATTTTTTAAGACTGGTTGAATCTCTGCTTATGCATACAGCCTGATCGGCGATGAAGCAATAAAGTGTTCAATGAATTATTGCATTAAAAAACAACAACAAAACACGTATTCGTATTAAAATGATTGTTTTAAACACTTTATGTTTTAACATCGTTTTTATGTAGCTCTGTAACCTACCCTGAGATCCTGTGGTATAGAGCAGTTTGGGAAATGAAATGAAATGAAATGAAATGAAATGAATGAATGAATGAATGAATGAATGAATGAATGAATGAATGAATGAATGAATGAATGAATGAATGAATGTTTAAAATGCCCTAAAAGTTAATCTAAACATGCATACATGACACCTCAAATTTCCTTCCCTTCTTTCCTTTCTTACTCTAGCATGAAAAATCACCTTCATAATTTTTTTTTAAAGGAGAGTGGTCAGTTTCCGGCCCTCCCTAGATGTTGTTAGATTGCAGCTGCCATTACTGGTCATCACTGGGCTATGCTGGTTAACACTAATGAGCCTTAAGGTTCATCAACATGTGGTCCTCCTTTGTTTTAAAGCAACCACTGAACTTCTGTCTCACTCCATAGCAAACATTCCTCTCCTCCATTATTATTAAGGGCCAGAATATATCACAGCTGGGTTGGGAATACTGGCACATGAATCATAATGGAAGGGTGGGAAATGGGTTTCTTTCAGGGGGAGACAAACATAGAAGTGACTTGTCCTTACCGAAGGGTTCACATTGCCAAGCACAATCCTTGTAAGATAGAAAATTGTTCACATTGCCTCTGCAACCGCTATAAATGAAGGGTCTGCACCTCGAGTTCAGGTAATCATAATAATAACGATGTAGTTCGGCTTTGCACCATCCTCTCCTTCGAGGAAGTTTGCATTGTCTAGGTATTTCTGGGGGGGGGGAGGAGTGGAAAAAAGGCAGCGCTCAGATGCAAGATCACTTCTTCTGGAACACAGATGCTAAAGTTGACAAACTTAAGGGAAAGCCAAAGGACACATATTGTTGCATCTTAAAGACTAATAATGATAACTACCTGCTTTGAATTCTAAGTAAAGAGCAGTCACATTCATTACCAGGTTATAAAGAGGCAGAATAGTATTAAAAACGTAACATATCAAACGACATTTGCAATCCTTATTCAAAGTGGGCAAGTCATTGTCTTTTTAACTGAACTGTTTAAATTGATGTTGGAAGCAACTACCTGCTTTGAATTCTAAGTAAAAAGATGTTGGAAGCTGCCCAGAGACTCTTGCAGAGTATGGGCAGCAAACAAGTTGAATGAATGAATGAATGAATGAATGAATGAATGAATGAATGAATGAATGAATGAATGAATCAATCAATCAATCAATCAATCAATCAATCAATCAATCAATCAATCAATCAATAAAATAAAGGAGAGTTTGCCTACTTTGGAAGCCCCCAAAGGGTCATTTTTCCACAATTCCTTTGATCTGCCACAATCCACACCTATTTTCTGAGTGAAACTGGAAAAATCATTTCCAGAGGCATAAGTCTTCCAATTATTTTTGCAAAAATGGGCATGAGGTGCAGGCACCAAAATGGCTTTTGAACTCTCTGGAGTCCCACAAGCCACTTGGTTTCCTCCCTGGTCTGAAGAGCGAACTATCTTGTGACCTGCACACAGCGTGCTTCCATGACAACAGACTAAAAGACTAAAGGATTAAAGGAGGTTAGAGGCTGCTTTTGAACCTCAGTAACCAAGGGTTGTGGGATGTGGTGGCGCTGCAGGTTAAACCACAGAAGCTTCTGTTCTGCAAGGTCAGAAGACCAGCAGTCGTAAGATCGAATCCACATGATGGAGTGAGCTCCCGGCGCTTGTCCCAGCTCCTGCCAACCTAGCAGTTCAAAAGCATGTAAAAATGCAAGTAGATAGATAGCTACCACCATGGTGGGAAGGTAACGGCATTCCGTGTCTAGTCACGCCAGCCACGTGACCACGGAAACTGTCTACAGACAAAACGCTGGCTCTACAGCTTGAAAATGGGATGAGCACCGTCCCCTAGCATCAGACACTACTGGACTAAATGTCAAGGGGAACCTTTACCTTACCTTTAACCAAGGGTCAGGGGTACAAAACAGGGAAGGCCCCAATAAGGTTCATTTCCTTAACCTGAAACCCCACCATCCTGACTGGCCTGCCTGGTAGGATCTCCCTCTTCACTATCTTGGCGCCCAGATGTGGGCAACCTGCTGTACCTTTTGCTTACTTCCTATTTATGTCCCGTCTGCTGAGACCTGTACTATATAACCTCCATAACACTAACTGTGCATCACAGTGCAAACTATCATGGAGCACTTACCTCGAACCCATTTCAAACCACCTGCTAAATATGACCAGGGCATGCGGAGTACTGTGAACAAGAAGAGGAGGAAAATGTTACTGTACAACGGACTGCACAGCGGTGATCTGATACAGCGTTTATATGGGGTTTCTCAGACAAGCGGAGAGGGGGACTGGGGCCAGGGTTGGCCCAATACATTTTGCTGCCTGAGGTAAAGGTTAAGATGGTTTCCCTCCAACCTCAGACCTTGAAAGAGACTCATGACCAATAACGGGTTTTTTGTAATTAATTCATTTCCACAACAAATGGCTAATTCCTATTCTGATTAATTTAATTGCAGTCCACCGGAGAAGTATGAGAACATGGTGCCATCTCCTCCTCATTCTCTATAAAAACATGGGTGGGAAAGACGGCTGGCTTTTATTTCACTGCTGAGTTTTATTCAACAACCTGAGCCTGGCCTGCCATTAGGCAAACTGAGGTACTCACCTCTTGCAGCAGAGTACCGGGGCAGTAAAGGCATGGCTTCCTTCTCCTGACCCTGCAGAAATCCCTACTAGGGGCAGCCCTCCAACACCTCCATCCTGCCAAGTTCCAGAAAGAGAGAGAGAGATACACAAGCCTGCTCTGTTGGTGCCAGTGGGGCCTTCCCACATCATCCCCTATGTACAATATGGCTGATGAAGTTGGCAATGCAGCACAGTACCTGGCTAGAATCAGAGGGCTTGTTTACATTAGAGCAATCGTTCGAAATATATGCTGGTGCAAAGGGAAATCGAGTTAAATCAACTCCAGGTCACATGGTGTTTGAATCACTGCGTGAGTTCCCTTGGAACAAATGTCTAACCTGGTGTTTTTGAAAGAATGCCCTCACCAGATGTGTGCAACTCAAGGCAGGAGGGCAGGTATGTACGTGCGTATGGGCACACCCCCAGAGGAGATGCCTTGTGAGCCGGAGAGCCTGGCGGCAACCGATGGCTGACACACATCACAACGGCATAAGCAGAACACACGCCCACATTGCTGAGGCAAAGGAGGAGGCCCAGGCAGAACCTGGCTGGTTGGAGGGGGAAAGAGAGAGGTGGTGGTGGTGGCATCTGCTCAGGCACAGCATCCTGGCTTCGCTGCTGCTGCTCCTCTCAGGAGAGCAGGCGCAGAGTGGGCGCTGAGCATCCTCGGCATCCTGCCATACTCCACGCACTTTGCTGCTCCTCCTCCTCTGGGCTGGCTCCTGGGGCCACCCCACAGCTGGGGTTATTGGGGCTGCTCCTGCCTCTCGCGCCACCTTGTGCCTCTGCTTTCTTCTCCTCCTCCTGTCCTTCCTGCGGCTGGCCCTCCTCCTCTCCAGCCCTGTTCTCATCTCTTGCTGGCAAAGATGCAATGTAGACCGACGGAATGGTTTATGTATACCAAACCAACTGAAATAATGCAGTTTTGCAAGTGATTTAAAATAAATGACCCTGGTGGAAGAGTTATTTACCTTTCTTTCCAATAACAACAACAACAACAAAACCAAATTTTCCAGGCCAAAAAAAATATTAAAAATCTGTGCTTCCATTTATGTCACGGAGACACCTTAATTTAAACCGAGCCTGCTATATAATGATTTATTCTTAACTATGGCTACATGAGGTTCTCTTACAGCTGAGGTAGATGGGGAAGATGACCACAGAAATTGCCTGTGACACAGTTTCTCTCCCAAAAGAAGTCACTGTTAAAAGAGTCTTAAATAATCAAAGTTAAAAAAAAAAACAGGTTTAGCTTGAAACACTAACAAGTTTAAATTTTTACAAGGCCTGGGGTAAAAAAAAAAGTTGTCACCCTTACCAAACCTTTCACACCCATAAAGGCATTCCAAGAGATTTGGAAAGTTATTTTCATTGCCTCCACAACCGCTGTATATGAACGTCCGACAAAGGATTGTCTTGGGATCATAGTAAAAGTTTTGAAATGATTCTTTGCATCGTCCATATTTCGGAGGAAGTCCACATTTTTCAGGCATGCCCTCTGGAAAAGAATAGGAAGGGAAGAGAAACATAGACGAGCCTCATAGGGCAGAAGCAGACACGAGCTTCCTTTATGTTTGCTTCTTTTTCCCCCAACATTTTCTTCTTTTCTGGGGTGAATTCATCCTTTTGACATTCACTGATAGTAATTGAATCTGTTTGCTTTACTTACTACAAAATTCCTGATGGTCAAGAGAGAAGCATGGCCTTCACTTGCAAGCTGATTGCACAGAAACGGCAAGCAGTTCTGTCTTTGGAAGGATTTCATTTTAATTTTAAAGCTGGCATCCCACCTGTTTTAGCCTGTGGCAGTATTCCAGTAATAAATCACAACTAGATTAGGCCCACTGAATCAATGGAACACAGGGAGAAGCTGACTTATCAAATCCCCAACATACAGTGTTCCTACTGGATTTCAGCCAATGTATTTTAATATCTACTTTTGGAGTCCAGATGGGCTCAGCAATAAGGCACTGCAAAACATACAAACACACACACACACAATGTATTCGCGAAGGCTTTCACCCCAGATGGGCTCAACAACAGGACACTGCAAAACATACAAAACACACAGAGAGAGAGACACAGACACACATACACACACGCACACACACACACAGAGAGAGAGAGAGAGAGAGAGAGAGAAGACTACACATCTGCTGACTGTACAGAGAAGGGTTTATACTGAAAGAACTGGGCATGCTTGGCCTTGAGAAATAAAAACTGTACTTGAAAGGCTGTCATACAGAGGAAGGGCAGGATCTGTTCTCAATCATCTCAGAGTGCAGGACATGCAACAATGGGCTCAAGTTACAGGAAGTCAGATTTCGGTTGAATATCAGGAAAAATCTGTTAGAGCAGTGCGACAGTGGAAGAATTTACCTTGAGAGGTAGCGAATGCTCCCACGCTGGAGGCATTCAAGAGAAATTTTGACAACCACCTGGCAGATATCCTTTGATCTGTATTCCTGCACTGAGCAGGGGGTTGGACTCGATGGCCTTATAGGCCCCTTCCAACTTCATGATTCTATGATATGGCATATAGTTAAATGGCTATGCCGTACCATAATGAACCATTTGGCCTCTTGCAGCTTCACTGCCATATGGGTCATAATTTGTTCTAAACTGACCGCTTCAGGGGAGGAGAGTCCATGTCCTTCTAGCAGCATATGGCATATAGTTAAATGGCTATGCAGTAGCATAATGAACCATTTGGTCTCTTGCAGCTTCACTGCCATACGGGTCATAATTTGTTCTAAACTGACCGCTTCAGGGGAGGAGAGTCCATGTCCTTCTAGCAGCAAAATGCTGGCCCTCTAATTCTTGGTACCCTGGATCAAAGCAACAGGCGCATCACTGTTAAATCTGCTGCTGTGATGCATTATGATTCAAAAACAAGCGTACAGGCCCCA